TCGTCCCCTCGGGGGGTGCCTCGGAGCGCAAAGGAGGGGTCTGAGGATGCCCCACCTGTGGCGTGACGGGGCATAAGTGTGCAGCGGAGGGGGATGAGCCAGCGTGGGCCTTGCTCTGCCCTCCGGCCCCGCAGTCCTTTCGTTTCGAAACCCACGTGCAGTACTGATGTGTTCCACAGAGGTCACAAAACTGTCTTCAGTTATGCTTATTGACGATCCTGAAACGTTAACAGCCAAGGAAGCTGTAGAGATACAAAGAGATTAAAATTGCTTTGATTTTGATTAAAATTCTGCGTGATTGAGCAGCATTGCTGTAGTGGTGAGACCACAACAGCAAAACAATAGCGTGCACATCTTTTTTTACCTGTTAAAAGGGGCAGGGACTTACTCCGGTTACTTTCTTCCAGCCCTGGCTTGCATCCGAGGGAGGTGGCTGAGGTGCTGGAGCAGTTCCTGCAGGAGGGACGGATTTCAGCTCTGATGTGGGAGGTCTGCCAGCCGCCAGCGCAGGCTGGCTCACCTGAGCTGCAAGAGGCCCTGCTCAACAAGATCGTATGTTTGCCTGATCACGTGAGCAATAAACTCCAGGGGAAAAACCCGCCAGTGTTTTTCCCACAGAACTACTTTCCTCTCTTGGGTGGTGCAATTATCCAGGTGCTGCAGAAGATCTCCGATTCTCTAAGAGGTGAGATTGCAGGAGGACTGCTATAGAGACGGCTCTTCTGAGGAAGTGTTTTGTGCATGGACCCCCTTGGCTGGTGCTTGAAATACAGATAACGGGTATTGCAGAGCCTCACGGTCACCCTTCGGGCTCAAGTTTATTCTCCTTAAAAGCATAAAGTACCAGGAATGAGGAAGACGGCCAAGGCCTTTTAAAATCCCACCGAAAGCTGCAATTCTGCAAGCTGTTAATGGTATCTGTTGCCAAAGCTTAATTGTGGTCACTTGGTCTGTGCTGAAGTAATTGTAGGGAAGATTTAAATGGCACTGAATGAACCAGTGGCTTTGTTACCATTGCGTTAAAGTGGGACTGAGCTATTTTAGTCATCTGACTCTCGCTGTGTAAAAATAATACTGAGTGCCGTTTGGTGCCTGAAGGCAGGTGGTGGAGGGAGGAGGAGATGATGCTTGAAAAGAAAAAGTTAATCTGTGGTTTTAGGCTTCAGCACTTGTAGAAGTGCGTGCACCTCCTTGTGAAGGTGGTTTGGAGGATGCTGGTGATGCTCTTGTTAAGCTTGTGTCTGTTTTATCCCAGGTGGCTTGGATTGCTCAATCTCTTTTGTTTCTCATGTCCTGGGGAAGGTGTGCGTTCATGGGAGACAAAGTGAGTGGTTTCCAATACTATTTTGGGGAGGGGGAAAGTCTGTTTTACTGTGTTTAGTACAGAAGGATGACTATGATGATGATCAACAGAGGGAGCGGGAGACTGACCGATTAATACTTCGTGGGTTTTGTGAGTTGGACTGCACAGGCTGCTCTCTGCCTTCTGAGGCTACTCAACTACGTACCTGAGAGATGTCGATGCTTTTCTGTCAGCCCATGTGAATGTGGTCTGTTCTCCTCTCAGAAACTGATGAGGTTATTGGCCTTCTCGTCCTGCCGTTTGGGGCATAACTATTAAATGTTCCAGTGCTTTTCATCCAGTGGTCTGAAAGTGCCTTGTAAATACCAGCATAAATCGCTGCCCATATGTAACAACCCTCTCATGTGAGTAGCCTTCAGTCTGGCTTTGCTTAGGACTTTGAAGCCACTGAATGCAGAAGTAGTTAACAGGGCTGGGGAAGAAGAGGAAAGATTTTCTAGCTATTTACTGTGGTGAGGAATACTTGCCAGTTCCTTAGGCCACTTAGGTTAGTTCTTACCACAGGAACAATTTAGAACGGCAAACTGTGCGTTGTATTTCTTCGTCTTGTAAGGATCTTGAAATTTGCAGGCTGACCTTGAGTACCATTGCAGCGGTTCTGCCCATCTGGTGTATTCACCTGTTTTCTCTTCCACTTCAGAGGAAATTCTGAGCGTTTTGGTACCCCGCCTGACCGATCTCACCAAGTCAGACTGCATCTGGCAAAGAATATGCTGGCGATTGGTTGAATGTGTGCCGGACCGCTGGATGGAAGCAGTGGTCCTTGGTTTTGTTCAGAGAGCACCAGGGTAAGAACTCTGCTTTTCTCCCTGATTCAGAGCAAAAGCTGGAATTTTTTCACAAATACTTGCGGAATCAGTTTCTGAAAGATGCTGGGGGGTGTGTGTGTGTGTTTGTGTAGGCGGTTACTTACAGTGCCATTTCCTGAGAGACTCCAGGGGTAAAGTACCTGATTGTTCCCTCTCAGGTAGAACCTGCACCATTCTTTAAAGATGTGCATCATGATGTGCAGTGAAAAAACAAGTGAAAACATTCTTTGCAATTACTGACTCACTTTTAAAGTTTAGAGGTGTTTTAGAGACTTTGTTGCAAATAGCTGCTCACAGAATTTCCTATGATTAGTAGCAGCATGACAGTAATTACATGGATTCCTAATGTTGTGCTATTGACCTGTCTTGCTAGGGCAGATACCTTGTCTAGGTTGCTGGGGAACCTGGTAGTGAAAAACAAGAAAGCTCAGTTTGTGGTGACACAGAAGGTGCTGCTCTTGCAGTATTGCCACACGGTAAGGACTCTGCGTTGAACAGCGGTGTAGTAACGCCTGTTTTTCCCAAGTGCCAACGTGGTTTTTAGCTGAACTCCAGGTCTTCTTGAGTAAGATTTAACTCTTCATTCTGAAACCAGCCCTCAGTCTCTCCACATGTACCTGAGCTGTGCAGCTGTTTACTTACATCCCCTCAGCTGAACGTAGTGACGAGGGAGAGGTAAATGGTTGCTTTGAAGTCATGGGATTCATGTGCTCTCTCAGGGTTGAAGGTGATTAGCAGAATTACTGTACTCTTTTTTCTGGAACCAAATGTTTTTTTGCACGTAATTTCAGTGTTCTGGGGAGCTGGAGACATCTAGTTAATTTAGAATCTGACAGAAGAGACTGAAGAAGCTATGACCCACCCTCAGGGATAAGAATTAGATTGCAGAGATGAGATAGGGACTGGTTGTTTTTCTTTTTTTCCCTGTGCATCTGAGTTTGTCGCAAGGTGTTAGGAAGTGTTCTGTGGCTTGCGATGTTGTGAGAGATGTTCTCTAGACTTTCTGTGTTCCATGGTTGCCTGGGACTGTGCTTATCCGGTTTGGATGGTAAAAATACTGTACTGTATTCCTGCCTTGTTTTTCCATATATTTCATCAGCAACTGCATGGGTGTGTTTGATTGTTTTTTTGAAATTTGCTTACTTTTCTGTCTCTGAATGTTGTCAACCAGTCCCTCAGAATGAAAACTTTAGCATAGTAAAAATACACATTTGTCATTGCTGGGTGACAATTTTATGCCCAGTTAAAGCAAGACTCATGGTTTTCATTGCAGACTGCAGTGCTGCAGAACCTCCTTGGCTACCTGTCCCTGGATAGCCTTCGGCGCGCTTTATTGATCAAAGTAAGGTTAAGTAACGTTGTTGGTGAGGTATCTGATGGAAAAAATTCTACTGTGTGAGTGTGCGTGTACGTGTGTCTGTGGGGTGCACAGTTTGGTACTTCTCTAAGGCACTTTTTTTACTGTTCACAAGAGTGAGGGAAGCCCTACCCTATCACAAGTAAATTGTGATATACAAATCGAAGACTTTCTGCACTGCTGGCGTTAGTTTTTCATATGTAATTGGTAAATTGTCTTCCAAGTAGCAAAACTACGGAGGCTTGGATTCCGACAGATGTCCCGTGTCCTCCATCCTTCTCAGCTCCCTCTGTCATCCCCTGTTTGTGTGGCTGGGCAGATGGCAGCAAGTGAGGAAGTTGGTTGGGAGCTGTCTGTGTGCCAAGTGGCTGATGCTTCGGAATCTCTCTCATCTACCTTTTCCTCAGTGGGGATGCAGCTATTTTCCCATTCCATGTCAGCAGTGTGATGGAACTTCTAGGAAATTTGTATCTCTGGAAATCTCTACTGTTTTGTCAATTATTTTTTTTCACTGGTTACACGTTCTGTTATTCTGTTATCTGGAAGTACTGGGCACCTGTATAAGATTGAACTAAAAACATATAAAACCATATAATATCATACTGTTTTTGACAGTAATACATATTGCTCTGCATATAATATAACTTTTAAATTTAAAAACCCCATTATATTAAACAATATATTAAATGAAGGTGGTGTGGAGTTCTCAGTTGGTCAAACACAGTACATTGAGGCCCCCGAAATACAAAGTTAGCTCTGTTTGTAGGGAATGTAAAGTTCGCTGGGAAGCATGAAGACCAAAGGGCCATCAGAATACATTAAAAAACGTGCTTCAAAAAGAAGATTACTTGAGTGTAGAAAAGATCCATTTCAAGCCAACTTGAGTTTTCTGATTCAGGTGCTGCAAGAACTCTTGGAGACCTGGGGCAGCAGCAGTGCTGTGAAGCACTCTCCACCTGAGCAGCAGCAGTATATTAGCAAGGCCATCCTTATCTGCCTCTCCCACCTGAAGGAGCCTGAAATCGAGAGCTGCAGGCAAGGTGAGGCAGTGGGAGAAGGAAGGGTTAGGTTTGTTTAACAGAAGGTCTGACTGTGAGTAGAAAAACATCTTATTCTCATCTATGAATAAAGAAAATTGCCCCATCTTCATCTTGGCAAACAGGGTAGCCTCCTGGAATCCTCTTTTTCTTCAGCACTGATACTATATCGTTCCAAGTGCATAGATTTAAATTATAAAATTGGAGAACTCTATCTCTGAACTAACGTTCTTACCTGAACAGTGGTTTAGGAGCCCTTAAGTTTTGTTGCAGGAAAATCAGGATTGCCTCTGGGACTGGTTAGAAGAATGGTGTGATTTGCAATTTATAGGCTTACTGTTGGAGCATGAGTAAGGCTTCAAAGGGGACAGGGGAAAGTACACCAAGGATAAAAAGCTGTTTGATCGGACTCTGACTACCCATGTGCATTCCTCCGTGTCATCCTGCTCCCCTCAGTGTGAGGTGAGTAGTGGTAGTGAGTTCCCGGCAAGGACCTCCTATTCTGTATTCGTACAGTGGGTAGCACATTGGGGTCCTGGTCTAAAATTTCTGTTTCTGTTGCAATAAAAAAAAAGTCAGTCCGATGTCCAGACTTACTTCCCTGTGTGTATGGCTTTTGGGGGCGAGAAGGTTGACTTACCAGAGCTGTTCATCTGTTTCATTCTAGAATTAATTCTTCTTTAGGTGAATAAGTGACCTGCTATTTACTAACAGTACTGAAGTTTTATAATGTTTCTTATCTGACAGCGGTTGCAAAGATAAGCTTTTCTGAGTTGAAGGAGGTCAGTCAAACAGCAGTAAGCCTGCCTGGTAGCTGGCAACCGTCATTCTCTGGGCTGAGAAATACCGGTGTTATCTGCCTGTTTCAACTTCTCTAGGTGGTGAGGGAAATTTCTCCCTCCGTGATTGTTGTACTGGTCAGAATTTGTAGCTTCCTCAAAACATGGCATTTCACTTCAGTGGCTTTGAAGCACTCTAAAAACAAGCTAAAGATTGACTTGACTTACCATGCTTTTTTGTTTCAGTGAAAACTGAAATATTCCAAATTTAGAATATATTGCAATGTTTTGTTGACTTTGTACCCCATGAAAGAGCATGCTTTTATCATGTTGGTGCTGAAGGTCGATACTGCCGTTGCGGAAAGAGAAGTCACAGTTGCGTGGGCCCTTTCTATCTTTCTGCCCATTACTAGGTGGTGAGCGGCTAAAGGTGCCCTCTCGGGGAGCTGGCGTAAGGATGGATGTTTGTTTCTGTCATTGTTTCGTGCACGGTTTGTTTTTTTTCAGAGCTTCTCACAAGCATGATGGAGGGCGTGAAATGCCACTTGGACAGCAACCTGCCACAAATACGGCGTCTGGGAATGATTGTGGCAGAGAGCATTAGTTCAAAAATAAACACTGATGGGCCTGTCCTGAAGTTTCAGGTGAAGGTTATAATGAAATTTATGTCTGGTGTGCAGGGCTTAGAGGAAATAAAAGCTTTAAACCAGATGATCCAGGGCATTATAGCAAGTTCTAACACTTATCTGGAAATAAGAAGAGACAGCAACACTTTCAAAAAGAGAGGATATCTGTTTACAAAAACCAATTGTATAGAAAATAGCCACGTGGCTGAGAGTGACCTTAAGAGCGTAATCTGATGATAAAGTTCAGGGTAAACTGATGATACTAAAGGACTGCTAGAGGATTATCGTATTGCATGAGGGAATCGGAATCTGACCCATGGAAGTGGAGAGGAAACTTCAAACCTAAACCAGTGGTGAACATTCAGTCCCTGACGTGGTGGGAAGACCTGCTCTGAGTGGGGAGTTTCAAGATTGACGTGAGGAAATACGCTCTGCTATTTCCCGTAGAGTTTATAAGAATTATGTGATTAAATCACATTAATTCTTTAAAAACCTGCGTCATCCCTCATGTCACATTGCCATTTATTAAATGTTTTAAAGATTGTAAATAACATTCAGGCAAGGTGTGATCAGGTACTGCCATTAACTATAGGGCCAAAGATTACCTGTGGCACAGATTGCTATACAGCATAAATACATTACTGCTGGCAGCACAGTGATTGAAGCAAATGGGATTTGTGTGGGTCCATCTGCTCATGATTCAGTCTTCATTTGCAGACAGCAGAAGGGTCAAATGTTGAATGCTGGGCCCATTTGCAATCAAATAGAGTGCAGTAACAGTTTTTCTGAATGTCTAGTACGAAGAAGATGATGAAGCAAGACAACTGAAGTCCCTTCTGGTGCAGACTCCACCATTCTGTGTTGTCCCCAGCCTTCCAGATGATGAGTAAGATATTGCTACTGTTCATCTCCATGCCATCTTTTTGCCCTTCTCCATACCTTTTTTTGAGTTACATGCTAGAACTGTATACAGTATTCAAGATGTCGTACATATTCTTAAGCAGTATAATGCACCTTATTCTTACAATGCAGTGTAGTTATGTTAAATTCATAATTCAAATGGTAGTATGTATTAAAATTGCTTGTTTGATAGCTGCACATGGTGAAACCATGCTGCAATTTCTAGGGGTCTTACGTGCCCCTGGGTAGAATCAAATGGGCCTTTCTGTTCACATCTAGGAAATCTGGCATTTGGGCCATATACCCCTCACCCATTCATCCATGACAAAAATCTAGCATATCTGTCAGTCTAAAGACTGGGGGTTTTGATGCTTTTAATTTCAATAGCATCTGCTGAGGCTTTTTGAAGCACTTAGTTTTATCAGCAGATGAACGAAGCACTTCGTGTTATTAGCAAATGAAGCCGTCTAGCACTCCAGCGAAACCCAGAGGATTTATTGCTCCCATTTTAGGGGCATAATCAGCATAAACAACTGATTGAGACAGCATTTGAGAACTAGAGAGATGAAAGGACAATGCCAAAGTCCACAGAAATGGGTACAGAGACAGAAAAAAAATTCTCCATTGTTATATTCATCCCACTAATGATGAATTTAGGTTAAAGATGTTTCTTCCCCATTTGTTCAGTTTCAGTCACAGCTTCAAATATGGTGCAGGCCAGGGTGATCCACTTACCACGGATAAGGCTTTCCTTAGCAGTCCTAGGTACAAGTTAGTGCAGGGGGAACAGAGCAAATTAGCTAGCTTAATTTTTGTTATCCATTGCTCTTCTGTTAAGAGATTCTGCTTCGCTTCTCCCCTCACCCCATTCTCCTTCCCAGGGCTTTGTTCCTGTGTCATCCAAGCTGGGTGGGAGGCCGCAGGAGAAATAATTATCTGCCGTTCTGTTTAAGCAGCAAGGGTTGGTGGTGTGGGTAGTTTCTTGCTTGTGAATAGGGACTGTTACTTTATTGGTTTTAATCCTTCTTTTTCCTC